ATAATATATGCGTGTACGGTGTATATTTATTATGCATATATAAATACACAAACGTGCATGTATATATTTAAGAAAAGTATGTTATGTTTGTATATTAAATATACTTATATATATATGATATAATTTATACAAATATAAATTATACATGTAAATATTTACAAAAAATATGCTTTATGTGCATGTCTTTATATATACATAATAAATATACACAGTACACACATATGCAAACAAAAACTTTTATTTTGGATGGATTAATCGCTTGGCAGAACTTATATTTATATTTGTCTACCATTTGAAACCTAATAAACTTACCTTGCAAAGCTGTGGCTGAAGTGTATTATTTCTATAAAATAAATATGACATGGTTTTATGTGTTTTTTTTTATAATACGACAGTCTTTTTTAGGTGTTGCATGAGTATCTAATGTTTTAGACAAATATTTAACAGGGTAAGTGACATAAGTAGGCTAAATATCTGTAACTTTTAACTGCACAGAACTCATATTCCTTGCACACTCACACACAAAAATCGAAAATACGCATTGAATGTTACAAAAAAGCTGCTTTGATGGCTTTAGATGCGCTGGAAGCATCCATTTGGACACTCGACCTCTCCGAGAGGGTCTTAGCAAGCCGACACGGTTACTAAAACACACTCCGAGTCCTCCTCTAGATTCCTGAACATACACTGAAATTGCATGCAGACATTCTGAGTGCAGCTTGACTCACCAGGTCAGGTGACAGTCCCAGTCCTCTGAGCTCTCTTACACTGTTCTGCGTGGGTTTGGTCTTCTGCTCTCCTGTAGCGCTGGGCTGGACATCACAGGCGAGACAGTACGTCACTCATGTGATATGATGCTCTATAATGCGCTGTTCTGTGTGCGCCGACGGGAAAGCATACAATCCTCACCTGTGGTACCAGACTGACGTGAATATTGCAGAAATTCTCTCTCTTCACTTTAAACTGGAACTGTCTGAAGGCTTCGATGAAGGGCATGCTCTCTATATCTCCGACCGTACCGCCCAACTGCAAGCACATCAAAACCTCAGACACCCGTTCTAACATGCATCCTATCAAATGCAGTGTCCAGCTCTCGTCTCACCTCGATGACGCAGACCTGGGGCTCAACGCCATCGTCGTCTACGGGAACTTGAGCTTGACGCATCACCCACTCCTGAATAGCATCAGTTATGTGTGGCACCACTGGGACAAATGAACATACAATGAAACACAGACACACCAACTTCTCTTTCCAACACAGCATGATTTATCCATTTAAAAGACTCTCGTTTACGGTCTACAGTGTGTGACATGCTGTTGATTTCCACAGAAATTTATTTTGACTCGTACGGTCCCTCACTAATGCTTATTTTGGTAATCTGGTAATGTTGCGGTAATAAAAGCAAACAATCGCCTTTAAAATGACTTAAAATACCGTATTGACCCGAATATAAGCTATTTTTTTTTTTTTTTTTTCATCTGAAAAAATGCGGGCGTCTTATATTCAGGGTCTAGAGCAGTGGTCACCAACCTTTTTAGGCCCAAGATCCCTGACCTCGGCCTTTATGAAAGACAAGATCTACCTACTGAAGAATTGATAGAAAAAGACATCCCAGATTGTACTTCAAATTTGAGGTCTTTTACTTAGTATTTTAATTAGTGAAGCGCCGATCATAGCGGATTCAGAATTCAGATTTTCTTTTTTAACTAGCAAATTGGATTCTGATACTGACTTTTAAGCAAATTTATTTATTGGCTATTTGCTTTATAACAAACAAACTGACTTTAAACAAAAATATCTAGCCATTTGAAATTAGAGGCAAACAATGCATTTTAATCACGATCTGCACGGGCAGTTGTCTTTGATTTGATTTAGATTAATTTCGGGATTTAAAACAAAAACAGAATGGTCTGACTTTAGGTGTTATTTATTTATTTGCTACATAAAACTTCTGCACGAAACAAAAACAGCAGGTCTGAATGAGACGCACTCTCTGACAGTAGGTGGCGCTTATGAACAGGGTTGCCAGGTTTTCGCAATAAAACCAGTCCAATAGCGTTTCGAGGAGGGTTCCCCATTTAAATAAAGTCGCATTCGGAGGTAAAATACACGTTTTTCGGTAGGGATCTTCCAGTAAAATTCACATTAAAGGGACTAAATATCTCGTTATTGGGGTCGCTTCAACCCGCGGACATGAACAACAACCCGCGGCAACAGTGTTAAAGTAGCCCAATTCCGCGGGAAAACCACGGACTTGGCAACACTGCAAACATGCAATATGAAAATAATTGAAGACAAAATGTGTTTTACTGAGAAAAAACAAGATTGGGTTTTTAAAAAGCCTTTTTCCAAAAGGTACATTTGGAAAAAGGGGGGTCGTCTTCTATTCGGGCCAATACGGTACATATATGTGAGCCTGGAGCACAAAACCAGTGTTAAGTCGCTGGGGTATATTTGTAGCAATAGCCAACAATACATTGTATGGGTCAAAATTATTGATTTTTCTTTTCAAGATCATGTTCCATGAAGATATTTTGATCATTTCCTACTGTAAATATATCAAAACTTAGTTTGATTAGTAATATGCATTGCTAAGAACTTCATTTGGACAACTTTAAAGATGATTTTCTCAATATTTTGCACCCTCAGATTCCAGATTTTCAAATAGTTGTATCTCGACCAAATATTGTCCGATCCTAACAAACCATACATCAATGGAAAGCTTATTTATTCAGCTTCAGATGATGCATAAATCTCAATCTCGAAAAATGGACCCTTATGACTGGTTTTGTGGTCCAGGGTCATATTTAATAGCAATGAGGCAATAATAATTAGTTCAAATAAAGTATCAAAAGCAAGTAATCATATGATTTACAAAACTGGTAAAATGCATATTATATAACGGATAGTTCCGGTCCTTGATTCTGATTGGCTGAGCCACGTTCTAAGCTGTTGTAAATTACTCTACAAACACACACCTTTGTTTACTTCTGTAACCACAACTGTTTCTGAGGAGCTACATTGTTTGGTGGAAGAATACTGTTTTTATTTATATCATTACACTTTATTTGCTCTGTTTTATTTTGTGAAACCTTACTACATATATGGAATAGGTACATATTTAGCAACACCCCTTAGCGGTTATAAATTCACTGTAAACCACGGCTTTTTGGGGCTAATTGCTTTAATGTATTATAAACAATAGAGCTAATGTACATTGCACATCACGACGACCTGCCGATTGTTTTTACCCTTTACTGCGCGATCTAATCCTTGTTTAATATCGACTAAACGACATTTCATTCAAATGTCCACTTCATCTTCAATATCTAGCCGTTTCCTTACGACAGAAATGCTACAGCCACTGAAATGTTTTGCATATGTGGATACTCAGAGCGCGGGTTTGCGCTTTTATTTTGAAATTGCGATGAACAGCAGCACGTTTCGAAAGATATTGATGTTTTCTCCTGTGCTTGCGTAGGTTTAGAAACGGCTTGCCTTGCAAATCTGATGAAATGGTGCACGCTGCGTTCCCAGATCAACGTTATAATAAACCCGAAACTCACAACAACGATGCAGAGACGGAGTTTGAGACGCTCCACACATGTAAATGATAACAGTTTGTGCGGAGCAGCATTTACTGTGAACGGAGACCCTCCGAGAGGCACGCATGTAAATGATCACAGCGCACATATTAACCCTGCATCGTTGCGTTTGTGATTTCCCAACAGCATTATGCTTTATGATGATTTTAAAATGGGTTTAATATATCATGCAGCCTTGGAAAACGGTCTAATAATGCGCTTCATGGATTCTCGACCGTGGAATGCACCGGTTACTCGACACGGGCAAAATGCAATCGAGGATTTTTTTTCAAACCGAGTAGTACTTGAATTGAATATATAGGAATCGTGACAGCCCTAACTTACAGTGAGCATCTATGGGGCAGACATGGACAGGAACTTCAATAAACATTAAGGGTGTATTCACACTTGGCAGGTTTGGTTCGGTTAAAACATACTCCGGTGTAATTGCTTTGCTAGTGTGACTTTACAGCGTGTTTCCAGCTACTTTCATGTGAAAATGTTCATGCATGTGCACAACGGAGGACTTCCCGGCACTGTTTTATCTTCTTCACACATTTTATAAGCTCTTTGAGAGTTTTCAGCTGGTAAAGATGCTATTTGCTGGCATTGTTTTGGATGTTCTGCAAATATACACCATAAAAGCCATCCAATCAGGTTGTGTCCTTGTGGCTTATGGTTTGCATCTGTATATTTGGTGTATTAATAATTACAGTATGATAAATGGGCTACATCACTTTCCAACTTCCGAGTGTGAACTCACCCTAAACTAGGCCATTGTGAAAGTACATAAGACCTCGGTCTCACCCTGTACGGTTTTGCCCAGGTAATCTCCCCTGCGCTCCTTGTTGATGACGGACTGGTAGATTTTTCCGGTGGTCAGGTTGTTGTCTTTGGTGAGCCTGATGTCCAGAAAACGCTCATAGTTGCCCAGATCCAAATCCACCTCTCCCCCATCATCCAAAACGAACACCTCACCTACACAAAATACAACACATTCATATAAAGACCACAGAGCTCTACGACCATCACCCGCATTAATAACAAAGATGTTTTAAACTCTATATCTGAAGATAGATTTATACACGTTCTCGAGTAGTGAGTGGTTGTGATGCTAAGGAGTTGTTTTGTAGCTACGAGGTCGCTTCTGCGGGGTTTGAGCATGCTCCGATGCTATTAGGGTGTATTGGGCGATTGCTAGGTGGTTGCTCTTTTTTTCCCCAAGTGGCTGTTTAGCATGTTGCTGTGTTTTCTCAGGGTGGTCTACACGGTTGGTTGTCCACCCCAAAGTCTCTAGACTTCTAGAATTTGTATCAATTGAAATTTGACCTATTCATTTATATGTGGATTCCATCTATTCTAAAACAATTAAAATTGACATTTTTGAACCGTAAGATTTTAAATGTTTTTTTTTGTTTTAAGAAGTCTCTTCTGCTCACCAAGCCTGCATTTATTTGATCCAAAAGTACAGCAAAAGCAGTAATATAGTGAAATATTTTTACTATTTAAAATTTCTATTTGAATATATTTTAAAATGTAATTTATTCCTGTGATCAAAGCTGAATTTTCACTTGCTGCTTTTGTAACATTATACATATATATATTTGGGGGGGGGTATAGAAATGTATAGTTTTATTTAGTAAGGATGCTTTAAATTGATCAAAAGTGATGATTAAAGCATTTATAACGTTACAAAATTTTATTTTCAGATAAATGCCGTTCTTCTGAACTTTCTATTCATCAAAGAAACCTGGAAAAATTCTACTCCGCTGTTTTCAACAATAATAATACACGTTTCTTGAGCAGCAAATCAGCATATTACACTGATTTCTGGATCATGTGACACTGATGGAGTAATGATGCTGGAAATACAGCTTTGATCACAGGAATAAATTATATTTGAACAGATATTCACATAGAAAACTCCTTTTAAACGGTAAAAGTATTTCGCAATATTACTGCTTTTGCAGTATTTTGGATCAAATAAACGCAGGCTTGCGCAGAAGAGACTTCTTTAAAACACATTTGACTGGTAGTGCATATATTTACCAGATAATTGCCTAGTTTGTTCAAACAGCTTCTTTTGACGTGACGTGTGGCCAAGTATGGTGAACCATACTCTGAATTAGTGCTCTGCATTTACCCATCCTAAGTGCGCACACACACAGCAGTGCACACACACACACACCGTGATCACACACCCGGAGCAGTGGGCAGACATTTATGCCTTGCTCAAGGGCACCTCAGTCGTGGTATTGAAGGTGGGAGAGAGCGCTGTACATTCACCACCTACAATCCCTGCCGGTACGAGACTCGAACCCGCAACCTTTGGGTTATGAGTCCAACTCTCTAACCATCATAACCATAATCATCTTATTTGATCTGCACGGCGCTGTGACACTGACCTGTAATGATTGATATCAGACGTGGCTGGATGTAATCTATGAGGAGTGGTGTGGGGTTACCGTGCTCGTATGGCGAGAAGGTCCCAGCATCGATGTTGATGTAGGGGTCGATCTTGATGGCGGTGACGCGCAGGCCGCAGGACTTGAGGATGGTTCCCACGCTGCTGGCTATAATGCCTTTCCCGATGCCCGAGATCACGCCGCCCGTCACCAGAATATACTTCATTCTGCCAATCACACCCTGGACAAACGAAAAGACAGGATTTCTTTTATATGACAGTTCATTAAACGCGGGTTGCACAATTTAAGGGAGCACTGATTTGAGTCGTTTCTTGTTAAAAAGCAGATGCTGTCATCACCTAACAAGTGCAATCTCACTCGAGCCAAACTCTGTGTCAGGAGCAAACACTTCTTGAAAAAAACTGATCTATGGGTTTCCTCGCCCTCTGTTAATACCTGAGAACACACCACTTCCATTAATCCTCAAATATCACATAAAGGCAGAGGTTTACAGCACATCACACTGCAGCTGATCAGAGACTCATGCACTGAAACCTTAGGAAATACACACAGTTGTACAGCTGATCGTTTGGTTAATTTATTATTGGATGATAATGTGTGTCATTATACCAAGCTACCACACTTAAAGAGAGAGCAGTAACTGTGGCAGTAACACTGAGCAGCATGGTAAAAGATGCACCTTACAGGAAAACCTCAAATGTAGAACTGATTGGGAAGAGTTTGGATTCAGCTCTTTATATTCAAAAATAAATGAATAAATTAATTAAGTAGGACCACACGTTTGTTGCACCTCTATATAGAGGCTACGATACCAAAGATGCTCGTTTAATAAAAAACAGCGTCGCTCGTTTCTATATAACTCAGTAACGTTAGAGTGGCGCGTGCTGCGGTGTCTCTAGCTTGCACATCCTTCGCGAGCACGCTTCCCGCAACAAAGCTCCACTTACCGGGTGATCCGAGGAGGTATTTGGATATTTAGTGTAAAATGCTCGACCGGCCCGATGTGACAGCTGTTGAACGATCTCTACAGCACAAAAGCAAGAGTTGTAAAGCGAGAATAAACGAGTGCACATCACACTTGCGCTCAGCGCTCATCTACACGTGCTGCTCGAGCTCTTCTTCTTCTTCTGCTGATGTTTAGTGGCGGTTGGCAAAGCAGCTTTTGGTGCATATTCCGCCACCTACTGGGATGCAGTGTGAGGCGATGCTATCAAGGGAAATGCTAATTTTATTATATAAATGTGTTATTTTCAGAAAATGAATAAGAGCTTTATAACCTACTGTTTAACACGTTCTGTAATGCCATAGCATTAACGCCGGCAGATTTTAATTCCTCTTTTAACTGTGTTCTTTCCCTTTCATATGCCCTACAGTTAATCAGCACATGCTCTACAGTTTCTGGAAGTCCACAGTGATTACTTTGACCGGATTCATGTCTTCCCATCATCTGGAGGGATTTATTAAGAGTAGCGTGTCCATCGCGATACCACTGTGTCATCCCTTCTATTACCACGAGCAGCTCTTACATGTCCTACTTGTTTATTTATATCATACAAATGTCGCCCTTTGTTACCTTTATCCCATCTCTCTTGCCATATCTTTCTGACAGCTACTTTAATTAAACCTTTAATTTCAAATTTACTCAAGGATATATGCATGTCAATATTTGTGTGCTGCTTCACGATCTTGTCCACCTCCTCATGTCCTTCCACTCCAACAGGAGCAGCACCCACACAAATCCTGCTAGGATTCTCAGTTGCCGTACTCGGTACAAACTTTGCAGTACTTCTAATAAAATATCTGGTCTAGATTCTGCTTTTCCACTCAGTATGCTTGTGAGAGCAGAATATGAATCTGCACAGATTAGCACTGTTGCTGGTTGTATTTCTTCCACCCACTGTAAAGCTATCTGAACAGCGGTCATCTCTGCGGCATATACTGATATATCATTAGAAGCTCTTCTTGCAGATTTATATTTAAAGTGAGGACTACACATGGCAGCACTTGTATGCCCAGTTTCTGGGTCTTTAGAACCATCTGTACACATTTGTAAAAATTGAAAGTAATGACTATCTAAATGCTGCTGCACTATTGTCTCTTTGGGAACATATTTCTTGTTTTCGTTTATTAAATTAGATATCTGCAAATCAACTGGCAGAGCCGCCGTGGGGCTAATATCGATATTACTGATACCTATTTGTTGAGCCTACTTGCCTACTGTCCAGCCAAAACTATTTATATATGTCTGCTCATATTCCCAGCAGCTCTCCAATACATCTATTATTTTAGTGGATGATTGGTAAAACGACCTTTAATAGCAGTCCAATATACCATCTTAAGCTGAATTTCACGAATGTCTAGTGGTGTTTCACCCATTTCTACCTGCAAAGCTGTCACAGGAGAGGATCTAAACGCTTCACAACATATTCTAAGGGCTTGGTTTTGAATGACCTCTATCCTATTTAATAATGAGGCTGATGCTGAGCCATATACTATTCTACAATAATCAATTGCTGACCTAATTAATGCACTGTATACCCTTTTAAGAGAATGTCTAGTACAGCGATCCTCAAATCTGGCCCACGAGATCCACTTTGCTGGAGAGTTTAGCTCTAACCCTAATCAAACACACCTGAGCATGCTAATCAATGTCTTCAGGATCATTGGAAAATCACAGGTAGCTGAGTTTGGTCAGGGTTGGAGCTAAACTCTGCAGCGCATTGGCCCTCCAGGGCAAGATTTGAGGAACCCTGGTCTAGTAGCTCGCCAATCTACTCCTGCCAAGCACCTCAGCACATTGACTCCTTTCTTACATTTATCAACTAACTTCTGCAAATGTTCATTTGGAATCCATCCATACTCCCAGATACCTTATTAGTGATACTTGCTCTAATGTTTGTTTATACAATTTTAATTTAACTTCAGGAGTTTTCTTCTTCTTTGAAAAACATATTACCTGGGTTTTTTTCAACTGAAAGACGAAAACCCCATTGATTAGCCCAATTTTCAACAACATCTATAGCCTCCTGTGCTTTTTGCCCTACGTACTGCAGGTTCTTCCCTTTTTTCCACAAAGCTCCGTCATCCGCATATAGTGCTTGTCCTGTTCCTAATTCAATTTCCCCAAAAATATCATTTATCATTATATTAAAAAGTATGGGGCTACAAACACTTCCTTGAGGGGCTCCATTGTCTATTTGATCAATATCAGAGTATTCAGTACCTACTCTCACTTGTATTGTTTGTTCTTGCAAGAAATCCATAATCCAGTTATATAACCTCCCCTTGATGCCCATTCGATCTAATTTAATTAACAGCCCTTCCTTCCACACCACGTCATACGCCTTCTCAATGTAAAAAAAACCTCCTATTACAGCTTTCCTTATTTCATTCTCCAAGCATACAACTGCATCTAGTGTACTACGTCCCTTTCTGAATCCACTCTGATATGGATGTAACAAATTTTTGGTTTCCAAATAAAATAATACTCGTGACATAACCATTCTTTCCATTAGTTTGCACATGTCTGATGTTAAAGCAATAGGTCTACAGTTCATCGGAATAGATTGGTCTTTCCCAGGTTTTGCAATAGGTACTATAATGCCTTGTTTCCACGAATACTGGAGTTTCCCTGATTTCCATACTTCATTGTAAAGTTTTAATATGATATTTAATGCTTTTTCTGATAGATGCTTGATCATATCATAACACACTTCATCTTTCCCTGGAGAAGTATGTCTTACCCCTTTCAGTGCCTGTTTTAGTTCATTCAGTGTGAATATGGCATCCATTGGACTTTCCGAGGAAACTTTTTGAATTAAAACATTTGGATTATCTCTTAATCTTTGTTCTCTTTTTCCCCTCATTTCTTCTGAAATGTTATCATTACTATGCACCTTTACAGATGCCTCAGCCAAAACCTCTGCCTTTTCTTTATTACTGATAACTTGTTTATTTCCACTTATTAAAACTGGTATACTGTTAAAATTATGTATCCCTCCCATTTTTCTGATCATTCCCCATACATCACTGATGTCTACATTTTCACCAATTCTATCACAATATTCTCTCCAATGATTTTTTTTAGCTACACATAACTTTCCTTACCGCTGCCTGTACTCTCTTATATGCAATAAAGTCATCAAAAGAATATGACTTTTTAACTCTCCTTAATAACCTATTTCTTGTTTTAACTACTTTACTACACTCATCAGTCCACCTTGGCACATTTTTCTTTTTCTGCCTACCTATACTTTTACCTATCACATCTTCTGCAACCTCACAAAGAAAGCTGCTCGAGCTCTTCTTCTTGAACGATTTAATAATGGCGGTCGACAAGCCAACTTATGGTGTACTACCGCAACCAGCTGAACTGGAGTGTGAAGCATTAACGAGAAAGAGGAAATAAATAAATAAATTCCATAAATAAATAAACCAACCGGTAGTATTAATATGCCATTTAAATTCTACTTTCTAATCCTGTTATCTTCAGGTAACTAGGAATTTCTCTCACAATACTTGTCTTTCCTGAGGCACAACTTAAAAGATTTGATATAGTGAAATTAATTGTATGACTTAATAATTTATAATTTATAAATTTAATTTATTTTAAAACTGTTTCTCAGTTTCTTAAATAACTCCTCTATTTCTTTGGTATAAACTGCACAATGTAGAAGTACGTGCTCAATAGTCTCTGGCGGTGTTCGAAATGCCATACTATCATACTACTCTTACTATTTCTGCAGTATCCAGCATGTATGCTGTGCATAGTATGCACATTTTCTGTATGCATGCAATACCCGGATGACCTACTATATTCGCCAGCATCTGCTAAATATAACTCAAGAACACTGAAATCAGTACAGAAGCTGTTCGGAATGGCATACTATATTGCAGTATGCTGTGTGTATACTGTGAATAGTATGTGAATTTTCTATATGCATGTAGCTATACTGGGCTGGAGTGTGGACCATTGATGTAATAGGAAGAACTAAAACAAAAATAATAATAATAATACAAAATTAAATAAAAAATTAAATCCTGTTAAATAGATTTACTTTTTTTTTTTAAGAATTTCATTAAAGCATTATATATTTTATAATGATTCAAGCCATTATTCAACAAAGTTTTAAGTGTAATATTTTCTATCCCTATTTCTTTTAATTCTTCCAACAGAAATGCTCTTTCATTATCATAAGCAGAACAATGTACTACTGTTTCTGGTAATCCACACAGACTACAGTTCCCAGACTCATGCTTAGTCATTTTATATAGAGAAGAATGAAAAGCAGTATGGCCAATGCTAAGTCTGGTAATGATTGTATCTTCTCTTCTGCGACCAAAACTAACTCTTTCAACCTTTATGATAAAGATGTCTTCCTCTCTCGTCCTTATTCCAAACCTCTTGCCATCTCATTTTAATTGATGTTCTAATTTTAGCCTTAACTTCTTCTTTGCTTAGTGGAATATTAATTTCTATATGTGATCATTTCAGCGCCTGTTTTGCTAAATGGTCCACAACCTCATTTGAAGTGAAGTGACATGTGGCCAAGTATGGTAACCCATACTCAGAATTAGTGCTCTACATTTACCCATCCAAAGCGCACACACACAGCAGTGAACACACACAAACCGTGAACACACACCCGGAGCAGTGGGCAGCCAAGCCATTTATGCTGCGGCGCCCGGGGAGCAGTTGGGGGTTCGGTGTCTTGCTAAAGGGCACATCAGTCATGGTACTGAAGGTGGGAGAGAGCGCTGTACATTCACTCCCCCCACCTACAATCCCTGCCAGTACGAGACTCGAACCCACAACCTTTGGGTTATGAGTCCGACGCTCTAACCATTAGGCCACGACTTCCCCACTCATTCCCCATTTCCATCCACTCCCACGTGTGCTGGAACCCACACGAAACCTATCTTATGTGTACATAAAATAATTTCATAGAAAATGTCTTGTCTTGAAGAAGATCTTCGACTGATAAGGCTTGATAATGCAGAGAATGAATCTGAACATATCACCGCATTCATTGGCCGAGTATCCTCCATCCTCCATCTAGATGCAGTTTAACATCTTTTGCTATTGCTGTATTTTTGTCATTAATCATTTCTTGCAAATTAAAGTCTAATAATGGTAAAGGGAATAA